TGACATTGGGAAATGATGACTGGCATCAAAAGGCGGTTATTGAGATTGCAAGTCTTGCAATAGCTATGGGTAGTTTAAAAAATCAGTATTGGGTAATAACCTGCCTGTTCCTTTCCCTTCTCCCCTCTTCCACATCACAAACATTTCATATGTTTCAGAAGAAATATCTCAGAGTGGATGACCTTGTTACCAACATCTCTGTCTTTCCACTGTGTCATGATTAGTGAGAACAAAAGACACATTGTCAACAGCACCACCATCTTATTCAACCCTCTGGTTTTGCACTTTCTGTGATAGATGGATGCATTGATTCACCCACAGAATATTGTAACACAGGAAACATGGCCAGCCCAGTGGAATGGTTTAGGCCACTGAGTTCAACTGCAGTGTCCATGGATTCAAATTACAACATCAAAACCACAAGGCTCAGAATAAAGAAGGAATTCTTTGACAATGGTAATTTTGTATTTTTATAGTGTCTAACATAAGACACTTGTGGGGAAGTGACAGACTATTACGTAGTTTCCTTTAATAGGGGCATGTAAACAAATCCACTGTGCTGAAAGAACCAAGTGAGGAATAGAATAACTCTGCTTTAACAAAATTGTGCCATCTATTCATCATGTATCCACCCATGCATCCAAAGCAGAAGGTGAATTTACATGCCTATAATTTGCTAGTTGCTTTCTGTTAATCAGGGAGAGAGGTAAAAGGTCCACTCCCCAAAACTGTATCCCCTTCCTGCATTTTACTAAGCTAGAAAGTGACACTTGACTTCAGGTCCTCAAATTCTCTGAATTCTGAGTTCTGAGACCGGTTTTATATCAACACAGTACGCTGCAGAATACTTGCATGTATAGAAAAGTCTGACTGAAGCCAAAGAAGTAAAATGTAGATGCAATGAGTAGGTATATTTATTGGACAAGAACAATAGTTGATGGGCAACTCTTAGTTTCTAGCTTATCTAATGGTGTTTATCTTTTTTTAAAAAAACTACCAGAGTGGTTTACATAATACATGAAAAGTAGGAGACAACATTAATAATAAATATATAAGCACATTAATGTAAAGTAAAAATAAAAACAAAACAACACGAGCTTTTTGGAAAAATATTTGCATTGTTTAAGAATAGGAGACAGAAGAAACCTTGACATTCAAGAGATCAAATCCTTATAAAAGCAGCTGAAATAAAAGTATTCAAAGCAATCACCCCAAATTAGACAGCAAAGAAGCCCAATATTTCTGGAATGAAGTCTGACAATCTAGGTTCACTTTTTCTCACTTTAATTATACTAGATGTTTTGACAACCCTTCCCATAAGCCCTAGCCAGCCTGGTGCACTACCTATATTGGCTGAAATGTTAATCAAACACATTTGGAGGGAATCAGTTCGTGGAATGTGAACTGAAGAGCCAACATCTCTACTTCTCATTTATACCTATGTGACAATATGTAGAGATATAACAAAGCAGAGCAATTCATATGAGAACAGAAGCTCAGAAAGAAATAGGCCATGAAACTTGTCAAATTTTGATTTAGACATCTGTCATGATAACAATAATAACAACAATAATAACAATAATAGAGTTGAAAGGAACCTTTGAGGTCTTCTAGTCCAACCACCTGCTCAGGCAGGAAACCCTATGCCATTTCAGACAAATGGTTGTCCAATCTCTTCTTAAAAACTTCCAGTATTGGAGCATTCACTTCTGGAGGCAGGTTGTTCTACTGATTAATTCTAACTGTCAGGAAATTTCTCCTTAGTTCTAGATTGCTTCTCTCTGATTAATTCCCATCCATTGCTTCTTGTCCTGCCTTCAGGTGCTTTGGAGAATAGCTTGACTCTCTCTTCTTTGTGGCAACCCCTGAAATATTGGAACGCTGCTATCATGTCACCCCTCATCCAGCAACTGTTCCTTATATGTTTTAGCCTCCAGTCCCCTAATCACCTTTGTTGCTCTTCTCTATACTCTTTCTAGAGTCTCAACATCTTTTTTACATCGTGGTGACCAAAACTGGATGCAGTATTCCACGTGTGGCATTACCAAGGCATTATAAAGTGGTATTAACACTTCATGTGATGATGGGGCAATGACTGAGGATAATGTTGACAATGATTACAAGTTGCTAAGTCACATGTAATTCAAGACATGTTAAGGGCTACAAGAATCTTATACATGTTTGAAAAATAACTTTTCTCTTTGGAAGAATGGCTAACTAAATTGTGGGGGTATGCCTTGATATCTAGGATAACTTTGTATTTAGAAAATATATTAGGCATGGAGTTTGATATCAATTGGAAATCATCTTGGATTGGAAAAAGCCATTAAAAACAGGCAACCACGAAGAGAAAGTCATGGAAATACAAAGAGAATTAAAACGTCCCATTTCTCCTAGGAGTTCATAAGTTACCCTGGCCTGGGGCCTGCTGAAAGAAGCACATTTTTAAACTCATAGGAGGAGTGGGGCCATATGGACTTCAGGGATGAGGATGTGCTCTGGGAACCTATAAATTGGTCTCTGTTTTGTTGTAGTACAGCCAGAAACAATAAAGTAATTTATTTGTTTGACTCTCGCCCTAATTCTGAAAGTCTTAAAAAACTTGGCCATCCTCTGAATCTTGGGAGTAGGCTCCTGGTGCAGCATGGGTTGTTTCCAGTGGTGGGATTCAGCTGGTTCGCACCACTTTGGTAGAAGTGGTAGCTAATTTTTTGTTGCCCAGGCCCAGAATGGACTTCCGGAAGCAGCATCCACGCAGAGAACCGGTTATTCACATATTTGATTCCCACCGCTGGTTGTTTCCTATTGTCAATCCCACCAGGTAGGCCAGACCAAGAATCAACACCGCAAGGCTAAGATTATTTTTATTGAGGGTGGCTATAATAACAGAATCTTGCAAGTCTTATTGTTCTGTGCTTCCTTTCTTTTATACCCATGTGAATCAGGGAGGTTTCTCTCCGAGTGGCTTACACATACACTTTCTGTTTGTTTTGGACTTAAGCCATGTTTTTCTCCTCAACATTTTGGAAACAGATCTGGCCAGCGTATATTCTGGACACACCGGATTTTTTTTTTAAAAAAATGTTTTTCTACATGTTTTCAACTTGTTTACTACTTCTACCAAATACCTAGATTTACTCCTAGTAACTTGGCCCCTAAATCTTGGTAAATAAGTAAATATTAAATTCCCATGTTCAACAGGTAATGAGATAAGAATATCTTTCTCTACCTGTTCTTTTGTCAACTCTACTCCTCCTTGAGAAGGCAAGATTTTTTTAAAAAAAAACCTAGATAAGAATTAGCAAAGGAATTTTACTTTTGTGAACTGCTCTGAGTCATATGAAGTGGCTGGCTTACACCTGATGTAAAATAAATAGAAATAAAAGAACACTACACCCATTCTTAGATACTGTAAGCAGATAGCTGGATCTGGAAGTAATTGGAAACTCAACAAATATCTTTCTTAAACTTTTGGATTTCAACCTATCAACTTTTCTCTGTTCTAGGATTAGCATTAACCTTACCTTGCCATGATAGAACCAAGTAAAATTTGTCATGACAAAGTGCTTCAATTTAACAAAGGGAAATATTATCATGCTTAGAGTATATATTATTTAGAAGTATTGCTTGTTTTTATATGGAAGAAAGAGCAAAAGAAACAGTTTCTCTCAATGATCTGTAATGAATACTCAGAATGAAATATGACAATTTAAACCACACTTAAATACTTTTTAATGCTTTTCTTAATATTCTTGTGCTGAGATAGTGTACCCCATGCATAAGCTGAGATATCTCTGCCCCATTCTGGGCAAGTTATGCTTTTTAGGGCCTGGAGGTTATTAAAGTCTGGATGGGGAGAAACTGGCTGTGACTGAATCAGAGCAAGATGGAGTGGTTGCTGGTTTTTGTATTTTTTGCAATTTCTGACTCTGGGTGGGGTAACACTCCTCCCAGATCACACCAAATTCTGGTGTAAATTTGGCGTTCCTCTTGGACTCCTGACTCCTGCTGGAAGACCAGGTAGCAGCTATGGCCAGAGAAGCCTTTGCACAAATCCATCTTATATGCCAATTGTACCCAATTGCTGGACCCTGTAGTCACTCATGCCTTAGTTATCTCATATTGGATAACTGCAATGCACTTTACATGGGGCTGCCCTTGAATACTATCTGGAAGCTGCAATTGGTTTGGAATGAGGTAGCAGGTGCAGTTTTGTGTGCCCCCTCTGTTTATACAACCCAGGATTGTATTAGCTTTTGGGGCTGCTGCTGCACACTGCTGGCTCATGGTTAAGTGATCGTCCACTAGGACTCCAAGTTCCCTCTTACAGTTGCTGTTTTTAAGCCAGGTCTCGCCTAATCTGTACTTATACCTTTGATTTTTCCTGCCTACATGTAAAACTTTGCTTTTCTCCTCATTGAAACTAATTTTGTTGGATAGGGCCCATTATTCAAGTTTGTCAAGATCTTTTTGGATCCTGAGTTTGTCTTCTGGGGTGTTGGCTACTCCTGCCAGTTTGATATCATCTGCAAATTTGATGAGTTCCCCTTCTATTCCCTCATCTAAGTCATTAATGAAGATATTGAAGAGTACTGGGCCTAAGATGGAACCCTGTGGTACCCCACTGCTTACTTCTCTCCATGTGGATGTAGTGCTGTTGAGGACTACTCATTGAGTACGGTTTGTCAGCCAGCTACAGATCCATCTGTTGTCTATTCCACCTTTTTTTCTAACTTACCAAGGAGTAGGTTGTGGTCTACTTTATCATCTTCATCAGAGAGGGGTTTTTTTCCAATTTCCTGGGCAAAGGAAGAGCTTTAGTTCAGCAATTTCATAATATTATAAGGTCAGATTTGAATAAACTGTACATTACAGGTTTTACAGAAAGTTCACATTTGTTAATTGTCAAACTGCCTCCGTAGAGATGTAAAATTATGAGAAGGTCATAGCAGACTATCTTCTAATCAGGTCACTGGTCTTGTTTTCCTATCTTCTTCAAGGAAATCGTTAAAGACCCACAGTTTATTCTTGGAGGAGCTACAAGAACTGACATTTGTCAAGGAGACCTTGGTGAGTATTTTTCCACTGGAATGATTTTTGCCCTGTTTGATACAAGGTATTAGGTAGTCCTGTTAAGACATTGTGTAAAATGTGTGCAGGCTTCCTAGTGGATAGATCCAGGTACCTCCCTAATCTCCCTGTGTTCAACTGGAGCACTGAAGGCTAGATGAACACAGGTTGACTTGTGTTCCCAAAAAACCTAATGAAGTTTGTACTGAAAGTCTCCTTCAGATACCTAGCTGAAGCAATGGAGGCATGTGAAGAGAAAGGAGGGCCAATATGCATCTCTCTTCTTGTCACATCAGATGTTCAACTGACTGGCTAAAGGAGGCAACTGATTGTGAGAAAAACATTGTTAGTCCAGTATGGGCCAAAACCATATGCAGCACCACATGCACACAAATCTAATGGAATCCCAGAAATTTAAAACTGAAAGGAATCTTGGAGGTCCTCTAATCTTATTATCTGCTAAATACAGGATTCCATTAAAAAGGCCCAAGGCAATGTTTGCAGTTCAACAGCCTCGTCCAGCAATAAGCCTTATGCAGACACTGAACAGATTTCATAATTTGCTCTTTTCACCTTGTGAGATACATTTTGCGTTTACATATGCAGCAATTGCTTTAGAACATAGTTCCTCTCCTGTGCAACAACGATGACTGGCAGAATCAGAAGTTAAAAAAAAGGAGACCCCCCCCAAAGAACAAAAAAAAAAGGAAATTATCAGTTCAATGTACTAGGAACAAGCTTTATTGAATTCATTCCTGGATAGCAAAGATGAAAATAGAACTCAAAATAAGATGCCAATTGACTTTTTGCTATATTATGCAACATTTATTTATCGATATATCCCATCTTTCACTCAGGAGTTCAAAACAGCATGGGTAGCACATTCTCTGGCTATTTTCCCAACAATTTAGTGAGATAGATTGGTCTGAGAGAGAGAGGGGGGGATTGGCCCAAATTAATCCAGTGAATTTCCATGGCTGATGATAGACTGGAATATAAGTCTTTCTATCCTAGTCCAACATCTCACTAACTATACCATACGAGCTCTCCATATTGCAAATCCACCAAAAGAGCTAAGATGCCCTTTGAAATGTGCAGCTACCAGATTAAAACCAAGTTGTTATTGTTCAGTTACTAAGTCATGTCTGACTCTTTGCAACCCCATGGACCGTGGCATGCCACACCCCGTCTTCCATTGTCTCCCAGAGTCTGCCCAAATTCACGCCCATGGGGTCAATGACACTGTCTAACCATCTCCTCTTCTGCCATCCCCTTCTCCTTTTGCCTTCAATCTTTCCCAACATCAGGGTCTTCTCCAATGAGTCCCCACTTCTCATTTGATGGCCAAAGTATTGGAATTTCAGCTTCAGTATCTGTCCTTCCAAACAGCAGTCAGGGTTGATTTCCTTTAGGAATTACAGCTAGGAG